ACAAACATAAGAAATACGGAATCTGTATAGTTCTATAAGTTTTAAAAAATTTGAACCCCAATCTAAAACTTCCTCACATGAAAACTCTGCCCAGATGGCTTCTCTGGTGAATTCTTCAAAACATTTAAGGAAGATATAGCACTTTATCTAACCCAAACTGTGTCAAAGAAGAGAAAGGAGGGACATTTTCTTATGTCTGGGGTGACAACTAGAAAAACAGTAACAGAGACTAGAACCAGCAATCTGTAAGAGGGGAAACCTGGAGTAACAAAAGCACTTGATCAGCTCAAAAGAAACAAGAAGCAAGTGCAAAAGAACGGTTGGGACAAATAGAGAACAAAGAGGCAAGGCCGACTAAACCCAGAGTTGTCAGTAAGTAGACTCATGTGAGTGCAAGCATGCTGCATGTAAAAAGAAGATGGTCAGACTGCAAACAAGAAGCAAATCCAATGAAGTGCAGCTTACAAGACACCCAAGTTAAATACGACACAGGGAGGCCGAAAACAAAAGCACAGAAAACAAAATACCTGTAAACATAAAACAAAAGAAAGCTAATACAACTATATTACTACCAGACAAAGTACGTTTTTAAGACAGGGACATGACTTAACATGGTTGGTTTGAATTGGTATGCTCCTAGTAACACGACCTTAAAATCCACAGAGCCAACAGTGAAAGAATTAGAAGGGGAAATAGACAGGTCCACAATTATGGTTGGAGATTTTAATACATGTCTCTCAGTACTGAGAGAACGAGCAGTTAAAACACCAATAATGATTTGGAATACTTTAATATCATGATTGAAGAACTTGATGTAAATGACATTTATAGCATATAAACCAGTAACTGCAGAATTTGCATCGTTTTTAAATGAAAATAAAACTTTTATCAAAATAGATCACATGCTGGACCTCAAAGCAAGTCTCAACAAATATCAGAGGATTGAGAACTGGTTCTTGGAAAACACTCCATAAATTTAATAAAGCTTTACTCAGCAAGGACTCATCAAGATAAAAAGAAAACACAAATTAACAATACCAGGAATGAAAAAGTAGAGGCCAGAATAGGTCTTACATACATTAAAAATATAATATTGAAAATGTAGATAAAATGGATAGATTTCTTGAAAAGTACAACTTAGCATAACAAACATAAGAAATACGGAATCTGTATAGTTCTATAAGTTTTAAAAAATTTGAACCCCAATCTAAAACTTCCTCACATGAAAACTCTGCCCAGATGGCTTCTCTGGTGAATTCTTCAAAACATTTAAGGAAGATATAGCACTTTATCTAACCCAAACTGTGTCAAAGAAGAGAAAGGAGGGACATTTTCTTATTCACTTTACGAGCTTGCATAACTGCTGTATCAAACCTGAGGAGAACTCACAGGAAAGGAAAATCATAGATCGATTTCCTGAACACAGGTGCAAAAATCCTCAAGGTATTAGCAAATTGAATCCAGCTATGTATTACAAGGACAATATATCACAACCAAGTAGGGTTCATTTTAGAAATGAAAGGTAGGTTTAACACTAGAAAATCTATCCATTCAATTTTTCACATTAAAAGAGCAAATGATAATAGCCATAAGCATCTCTATATACATAAAAATCATGGTAAAATACAACGCTCATTCATGACTAAAAACTATTAGAAAACTGGGAATTGAAAGGAACTTAATCTGGCAAAGGGTATCTTCAAAATAGCTGTATCAAACATCAAGCTTGTGGTGAGGTATTGAAAGCTTCACCCTAAATTCATAAATAAGAAAAGGCTGTCTGTTATCACCACTTGTATTCAATATTGCACTTCACAAAGAGCATGAATCGCACATAGCAGAATCCAAATAAGTTTATGGAATAATTAATGTATTTATAAATGAATTTAGTAAAGCTGCTAAAGCAAGATTAATATATTGAAATTGATTCTTTTTCTAGAAAAAATGAGAAACAAACTTTAACAAAACATTCACAATAGCATAAACAAGTACCTAGAAATGACTACCAAAATGTATGCAACTCCTACTCAGAAAAATCACAAAACAATGAGAGAAAGTACAGAAAAACAAAAGAAATGGAAGGATTTACTGTGACTGCAGGCTGGAATCAAAATTCAGAATTATAAAGACGTCCAGTCTATCCAAGCTGATCTATAGATTCAAGGCAATCCCAAGTGAAATCCTAGCAGAATTTTTAAATGGCAACTGATAAGCTGATTTTTAAAAATTCACATTAAGTGTAAATGGCCAAGCTTCCTAACAGGAAAGGAAAGAGGTGATGAACGCAGACTCCCACAAACGAAGACTTATTAAGGTAGAGTAACTGCAACAATGTAAGAACAGCACAGTGATAAACAAATGGCACAAAACCAGGAGTCGAGTCCTACAGACACACAACCCCCTCTTTATGACAAAGACGCTGCCGTGGTGCGGTGGTGGAGGAAGGCATTTTCAGTAAGTGGTCTTGGATAAACTGGGCACACACACCGAAAAAACAAAACAGTGACACTCAACCCCTACCTCACGCCATACACAAAAATAAACCACAGACGGATCATAAGAAAAGTTAAAATAACAACATTTCTGGATGATAACAAAGAATATGGCAATCTCAACACGAGTCAAGAAGCACTGACATAAAGAAACTAAAGATAAATGGATTCCACTAAAATTAAGAACTTGTGTTCATCAAAAGACTCATTGAGAGAGTGTAAAAGCAAACCACGGAGCTGGAGATAAAATCTGTAATGCCCATATTTAACAAAGTCTCTGCTGTATGACTCCCAACAATCAATTTTTGAAAAAGAGAGAGAGGGAGAGAGAGAGTGCCAAGTAGAAACATGAGAAAACACTGGAAATGGCACTTTAAAAAACCCTGAAACATATGAACTCATTATTCACCAGGAAAATGTGAATTAAAACCACAATTCTTTATTATTACAGACCCACCAGGATGGCTGAAATTTAAAACGTTGGCAGTACCAAATGGTGATAAGAATGTGGACGGACAGAAGTGTCAGGCACAGCAAGTGGGCGTGTGAACTGCTACGACACTGGAAATTCCTTGGCAGCGTTTAAAAAGACTAAATCTATGTCCAGCCGATGACCAGTGAATATAAATGTGTAATAGACACAGATATAAATGTGTATAGATGTAAACACACACATCTAAAGAAGCATGTGCCTGTGTACCACAGATAATGTGCAGGAATGCTAACAGCAGCATTATCTGTCATGCCCCAGACTGAAAGTCCCCCATGTCCATGAGCAGTTCAGTGGATACACTGCATCTTATTCTCTGACTGGAATACTATACAGCCACAAAAGAGAACACGACAACTTCCTGTAATGTGGATGAAACTCCCTGCAAAATGTTGAATGAATGAGCCCAGAGACCGGGAATTTCTTTTGTATAATTTTCAACAAGAAGCAAAAGTAATCTATGGTGATAGACACCTGAGTAATGGTCTCCTTTTGGGAAGGGGTTGTTATGGACACAGAGGGGACCTGGGAGGCTTCTGGTGCTACGGTGTCCTGTGTCGCGATCAGGTCGTGTTGTTTCACGTTGTAAACATGCCTCAAGCTGTACATTGAAGATTGTTCCACTTTACTGAATGTGTACTTCATTAATAAACGTTTGTTGTAATGTATGCAACACCTCCACAGACCCTCGGTAAGGGGAGAAGAGTCGACATCATTTAAATTTTTCTCGGTGTCCCGGGAGCAGTTCTAAAGCTGCAGTGACCACTGCGCTGTGATGTGAGCTGCTGTGGCACCCTGGCCTGGCTGGAGCATGGACGGCCACCCCACCTCCTCTGTGACCTGTGTTCTCAGATGCAAGTCCCATCACCCACTGCTTCTCTGTTGGCTGCCTTCATCTCTCAAATCACCTTTTCTTTCCTTCCTTATTTCCTTTTTTCTCCTTCCCTCCCTCTCTGCCCCGTGTCTTTCCCCAGAGTGGGCTTGGGGATTCCCAGCACTCATAGACGAGACTCTTTCGTTCCAGTTAGCAAGTTGTCCACGCAATTCACATTGCTAAGTTGCCCAGCTATACCCTTCACTGCTCATTGCTCATTTAAAAATTTCACTTCCAAGTACGGATCTACAAGTGGGTGATGGATTTAGCTCAAAGTGTGGCTTCCACATGGGCAAGGCTGGAATCTGCTCCTTGGTGGTGGCTGGAGCTGGACTCTGCAGGACACCAGCGCCCGGCAGGATGGGGGGTGCTGGCGGCCAGGGTGAGAGCCTCGCCAGCGCAGCACTCCTGCAGCACCAGCAGCTTCTCTGGGCCTCCGTCCTCTGCCTGGTAAAGCTCGGGCAGTGGCAGGACACCCTGGGTGAAGGTGTAAGAGCTAGATGAGACGAACACCTGTGAGATGCTGGCACAGCGTATGCGGGCAGCTACCGTTGCTCCTGAGATGCGGGGACTGCTAGCACCCTGCAATGACTCTCAGGCACAATCCGGTCCCGTATTTGTGACCAGAGTCTACACTGTGCTCTGGGACTTGGTAAGAAACAAGTTGCCCTGTTGCTCTGTGTGCAAACTAAGAAAACGTTTATGCAGTGCGTTCTCAGCTTGTGGGGCTGTTATGGAGAATAAACGTCCAACGGCTGCAGAGCTGTTTCCTGGGTATAAGCACTTGGACAATGAGTGTGTTACTCTTATAATGTGGATTCTAGAATCAGACCACTCTCCCAGCTCTCCAGGAACATGGCATCTGGTGCCACTTGTGACAGACAGAGGTGAGAGCACAGCTGACGGCTGTGCTTTTTCTAGCAAACATCACACATTCAGCCAACAGCAGAATGACATTCTATGCGGACATGTCCCTTTCTCAACTGAAAAGTGCCACCGGCAGGGGACTAATGATGTCCATGTGTAGGAGGCTGTGTTCGACATCCACAAAATCATTTTCAATTCTCTCAGAAGATCAATGTCCATATGCGTGACAATCCCCAGATGCTGCAAGGCTGGCTAATCACACACCTCAGGCTGCACAGAGATGCAGGAAATGGACGTGTTGAGAATGTGGATTGTTCAATACAGGAAAAGCTGAAATTTTTCTAATTTAATTACCTTTGTCAGCCTACCTGCCTAAATTTTCCTTTCTTCTTTCTCTTTGACAGTTTGAAATTTTAAAACACAAAGTAAAACACAGAGGGTAATAGAACAAATATTAATATTATGCCACATTTTTCTTAGGAACTCGAATATGACAGGTGTTCCCCCACTTTTCAAAGTGCAGATCTGGTTAAAGAGACGGCCGTGCTCTCTCTGAGGGTCACCAGCCTCAGCTGCGATGCCTGGAAATGGCACGCAGGGCTCCAGCGCGGCTGCGCTCCCGGCTCATCCACTTTACCTCCACGTCCGGGTCTCCTACTGGGCTGTCGTCAGGTTCTGGAATATTCCACTGGTTATACCACTGATTTTATCTGACATACGGGGCAGCATTTGAACCATAATTTAGCAGAGAGAAATAGATATGTGGCGATATCTGTTAAAATAACCTGGACACCACCCATTTTACTCAGTGCTAATGATGCGCAGGACACATATTCAATCCTCCTACACTTACTACCTTTTCCTAGAGTGAAACTTCTGTTGGGACCAAAGCCTCTACCCGCTAACCACGACCAATCACCTGTGAAATGCGGTCATTAGCTACCAAGGAGACCCACTGAAGATTCAGGTGGGCAGGGGACATCTATCCTCCTTACCAGGGAAAAATGGGCCCTCATCACATGCCACGTGCTCTGTAAGCCCTTAACATCTACCAACACATCGAGCCCTCTCAACCACCCTTTGAGGTAGGCTCCCTTAGTATCCGTGTCTTACGATGCACAGAGAGGTTAAGTGATTAATCCAAGGCCACTCAGCTACTGAGAGACTGACCCAGGATTTGAAACCAGGCAGTATGCCTCACTTCCTGCTATTAATACATGGTAGCATCTCTCAGTAGAGCACTGACAGCCAGCACTTAGGAGCTCCTGGAGGGCGAGGGCAAGATCGCGCTGCTTGTTGTCTCCAGGCATTTGCATAATGGCGGAGCGTTTAATAAATGATAGCTGAATTGCATTTTTGCCCAAGGTCAGTACCATCTCTTCACATAAGAAATGCAGAGTATTTAAACAAAATCCTAAGAGACGGCAAGCGGAGCGTTTAATAAATGATAGCTGAATTGCATTTTTGCCCAAGGTCAGTACCATCTCTTCCCATAAGAAATGCAGAGTATTTAAACAAAATCCTAAGAGAAGGCAGCAAAATCCTAAGAGACGGCAAGCATCCTGTTTCATGCTAGGTTCTCCAGGGGAGTTTTATTGGCTTAGCACACAGGGAGGGCACCCTACTGGCAGGACCTGATCTGTCCCCTCTGAGGTGCCCAGAAGGGCTAAATGGAACCTTTGCTTCTCATAGTCTTTGCAGAATCGCGCATTTCACTCCTCACCTGAAGAGGCAAAGAATTATGCTTCCGGTTGCAAGGGACATCAGAGAGACGCTGTAGCCCAGGGTGTAAATGGCCTTCACCAGAACATAAAATGTGATCTGCAAAGAAAGAAAAATGTGTCTGAGCTGAGGGTGGCCAGCATCGGACAACAGGAGCACTCTGGAGATCCCAGCCTCGTTCCCCTCCTGGAAGGCGGCAGGCGGCTTCCTCTCACACTTTCACTGAACACCACCTTCCTCTTGTAGCTCATTATGAGTGACTTTGGGTCACTCCTGCACAGCAGCTCTGTCTGGAGGAAAGATGACCCACCAGCACCAAGGAAAAGCAAAGGGGCGGAGGAGCTGCTGACCCACGTTCAGAGGGGCGCCGTCACGGTCGCCGGGCCAGCTGTCAGGAGGCACTCGGCCTCCCGGTGACACTTGGCCTCCAGGTGACACTTTCCGACAAGCTCCAGCAGAAACACATGTCTGAGAACATTAGGAACCATGTGGCTTTACAGACACAATGCCGAGGCCCCCAGATGAGAGAACCTGCTAAAAAAAAGAGCCAGCAGCTGAGCTGCAGCACCCGCGATTTCTACTTCCTTAACGTTTCTCTGTTTAGCAGGCGTCATGCTTCCTAGTTTTAGTGTGTGCTAAACACAGCCATGACATCATCAGGCAGAGGAGGGATCAGTGGTGATCATCACAACAGAACAGCTGGGAGCTCTATGACAGCAGGGAATCCTACACGAGAAGAATCCGGTCCTCACCTCCCCTGACCCCCACCTCACCTCCCCTAACAACCTCTCCCCTCCCTAACCTTGAAGGGCGTGTGAGTGTCACGTGTTGGCTGAAGCTTTGTCCTGGAGGGGGTGTGGGCCAGAAACGTCTACTGGGAGTTCTCAGCACATGCTGGGTTTATGGCCACATGCCTTGGTACCTGCTGTGAATCTTAGTGACAAAGACCAGTGTCTGTGACGTGGCGTTGGTGTAAAAGCAGCAAGAGAAACTGCATGGGCAGTGACATCCCAGGGGAGCAAGTGTGGATGGAGCCTGGACAGCAGACAGGAAGGACACACCCCGGGAGGGCTGCAGGCAGCCCCTGTGTGCGGGTTGCACGGGTCCTGTACCCCACACTCTGGTGTCCACATCTTACAGGGGGTATGTCAGTCTTACGACCTGAGCCCCCCGCCGAACTGCCCCTCACCCTGGCAGCCCTCCAGTTCTTGGGCAGTGAGTCCACTCCAGGCACTGAGTCCTCAAGGGTGGGGTCAAGGGTAAGGACTGAACACAGGAAAACTGGTGGAGCTAGCGGCTCCCACATCAGCAGAGTGCAGGCTTGTTGTGAGTGGGGACTCGGGCATGACCAGCGCTGGCACCACGGCAGAGGCAGCAAGCTGTACCCGCCTGCACGGTGCAATCCAGGGGGATGTGCATGCTGCACGGAGACCGGGCAGGTCCACGTCCACTCCTCAGAAGTGGGTACAGGATCCCCGCAGGCCAGGCCTCCACCCTGGAGCATGCACAGTTCTCCCTGGGCCTCGCCCGGGCCCGTGGTGCTGCTGGGGCACTGTCCTTCCTGCCCACCTGGTCCCTGCAGTAGCACCTCCCAGAGGGTCGCACTTACTGAGTAATGGAAGAAGACACACAGGGAGTGCGGAGCCGTGAGGTCTGAACTCCTCTGGAACAACAGAGCCCTTTCCCAAAACAAAATCATCAGACCCAGTGTCTGTTAGAGACGAAAACACAAGTCACCCAGTTGCACCAGCCACATCTCATGTGCTCAAAGCCANGGGAATCCTACACGAGAAGAATCCGGTCCTCACCTCCCCTGACCCCCACCTCACCTCCCCTGACCCCCACCTCACCTCCCCTAACAACCTCTCCCCTCCCTAACCTTGAAGGGCATGTGAGTGTCACGTGTTGGCTGAGGCTTTGTCCTGGAGGGGGTGTGGGCCAGAAACATCTACTGGGAGTTCTCAGCACATGCTGGGTTTATGGCCACATGCCTTGGTATCTGCTGTGAATCTTAGTGACAAAGACCAGTGTCTGTGACGTGGCGTTGGTGTAAAAGCAGCACGAGAAACTGCATGGGCAGTGACATCCCAGGGGAGCAAGTGTGGATGGAGCCTGGACAGCAGACAGGAAGGACACACCCCGGGAGGGCTGCAGGCAGCCCCTGTGTGTGGGTTGCACGGGTCTTGTACCCCACACTCTGGTGTCCACATCTTACAGGGGGTGTGTCAGTCTTACGACCTAAGCCCCCCGCCGAACTGCCCCTCACCCTGGCAGCCGTCCAGTTCTTGGGCAGTGAGTCCACCCCAGGCACTGAGTCCTCAAGGATGGGGTCAAGGGTAAGGACTGAACACAGGAAAACTGGTGGAGCTAGCGGCTCCTGCATCAGCAGAGTGCAGGCTTGTTGTGAGTGGGGACTCGGGCATGACCAGCGCTGGCACCACGGCAGAGGCAGCAAGCTGTACCTGCCTGCACGGTGCAATCCAGGGGGATGTGCATGCTGCACGGAGACCGGGCAGGTCCACGTCCACTCCTCTGAGGTGGGTACAGGATCCCCGCAGGCCAGGCCTCCACCCTGGAGCACGCACAGTTCTCCCTGGGCCTCGCCCGGGCCCGTGGTGCTGCTGGGGCACTGTCCTTCCTGCCCACCTGGTTCCTGCAGTAGCACCTCCCAGAGGGTCGCACTTACTGAGTAATGGAAGAAGACACACAGGGAGTGCGGAGCCGTGAGGTCTGAACTCCTCTGGAACAACAGAGCCCTTTCCCAAAACAAAATCATCAGACCCAGTGTCGCAGTAGCACCTCCCAGAGGGTCGCACTTACTGAGTAATGGAAGAAGACACACAGGGAGTGCAGAGCCGTGAGGTCTGAACTCCTCTGGAACAACAGAGCCCTTTCCCAAAACAAAATCATCAGACCCAGTGTGTGTTAGAGACGAAAACACAAGTCACCCAGTTGCACCAGCCACATCTCATGTGCTCAAAGCCACAGGTGGCCAGTGGCCACCGCACTGGACAAAGCAGTGAGAGCATTTCCAGCGCCACACTGGAGACCATGTCACGACCACCCATCCATCTAACCACCCTCAGGTTGACGACTGACACTCACACACGCGTATTCTCACACTTTAACTCCACTTGGAGGAAGACCAAGCAGACACTTTGATCTGCTCAAAGGTTGTCAGCTTTGTTTTGTTGTGGAGGATTTATTCCCAACATCGGACCTCTGGCTACGAGGTGCGTGGAGCGAGCTGCACAGAAATACAGTGACACGGGCGGGGGGGGGGCTGGCCCTCCTATGCCCTGCCCAGAGCTGACCTCCCACTGATGGACAAGATCACAGCCCCTGATGGGCTGACGCCCTCCTGGCGCCCGGGACCTACACTCACCGTCTCAGCGTGTTCACATTTTCTCTCAACAAGAAAACACTCGGCTTGGTGTGGATGTTTTAAATCTCAAGAACGTACAATAGCTCTGATCATTTCAGGATTTTGAAAAGACCATGACTTCGCACGAGAAAGAGAAACGGTGACAGCAGGAAGGGGACGTTTGGTAAGAAAGGGTGAGATCTGACAGCTGCGACTGCAGGGAAAGTCTCCGTCACAGCAGAAGTAACTCCAGCACCGATTCTGGAACGGTTCTTCCTGTAGATCCAAGATCCACTGAAGCCACGGAGAAGGACAAAAGACAGCTCCCCAAGTTAATGCTGTCACTTGCAACTGCCAAGACAAAGCAGACACTTCGCCAGGGCCCCGAGCACCGGTTTGTGGCCACGCGTGGGAAGGGCAGGTTCTCGGCGGCCAGCCCCTCTCGCAGGGGCTCTCCCCGCACAGGCCCGGGTCGAGCTCCTCAGCGTGAACCTCGGGAGCTGGCCTGCGGGTCCCCCAAAGTGAACAGTAACATATCAAAAATCAAAAAGCAGGGAAATAAACAGTGTGAAAGTATTGGGTGCATCCCAGCACTTGATACTTAGATACAAGCACTACTGTCCCTGTCCCCACAGCCATGTGACCGATGCTCAGGAGTTTGAAGCAGCTCGTCCCAACTGCCAAGAGTCACAGCCACGGAGGCGGAGTGGAGCCCAGTCCCTCAGTTCCTGTCCTGTAACCTGGGCCCTTTAACACAGTCACTCTTTTCACATGTGTTTTTCTTTTAAGGGGACGAGGACTAATTACAACCCATCGGAGAAATCCTGAGTGTTCAGCATCAATAGCAAAGCCGTCTGACCCCAACCCCATGTTCTCCCCCAGACCCCCTGTTCACAGAAATGACCAGTTTCTACATAGAAGCAGATGCCATTTCGATACAGGAAGGCTGGGTTCCTACATAGCCAGGCTCCTGCACTCCACAGTGTGTGCCACATGGCTGGTACCTCTCTGCTCCCTGGGTTAATCCTTGCAATGACGTGGGTCTTAAATCAGCAAAGACAGCGACGGCACCCACGACAGAGCCCTGGCAGGGCTGTGGGGACCTGAGTGGGGAGAAACAGCGGAGCCTGCGTGTCCGCGGCAGGTGCAGAGCTCCCAGGCCCCGAGCCTGCAGACGTGCAGCTCTCCAGCTTAGCTCCACGAAGGGAGCCGAGCGCGGCCGAGGTTCTGAGCGCCGCGGCCGCTAACACAGGCTTTTGTCCGTGCTCCGTTTCCTTTCTGAATGAGGCATGAGACACAGGACTAAGGTGGCACGGGCAGCTTCCTGTCATTTCATCTGTGCTGAGAGTTTGGGTTAAACAGTCAGAAAATGAAAAACTTCAAACCTTTCAAAAGCACAGAAAACAATGTAATGAAAACACACACCAGAAACAGAGCTGCGGTGGGATAAAGACCTCGGGGCGCCCCAGCGCCTGCTCCCTCGGCCCCGGAAGCCAGGCCCTGAGGCTGGTGTCATGGCTGTCGCAGGCTCACGGCACACGGCAGGGCGCCCTCCGGGTGTCACTGAGCAGTCTTGGTACTGTTTGGATCATCACGTTTTAGTGAAATAGTTTTATTCTGCACATATACTTCACATCATTTTTATCACCCACCACCAACCGTGTTTCGAGCCCTCTCCCAAAGTTTACTACTGCGTTAAATACTTAGCGTTTGCTTAGGTTTTCCCACGTTTTTG